TGTAAACACCCGCAGGAGGTTGGTACGCGCCTGAAGAGGTAAAACAGCACATAAGACGTGTCCAGAGAGTCTGCATCACGTCCCCACGCGCTGGCACGCACTTGGGGAGTGCGCAAAGAGTCCTTACGCGCTCCCGCGCTCCCACGAGCTGGAGGGAGGTGGCGGCGCGCGTCACGCGCTCCCACGCGCCTGCACGCACACATGGGAGTTGCCAGCCCGTGTCACGTGCTAACACGCGCCTGTTGGCGCGTGCTGCATTGGATTGGGTGCTAATCAACGCGCACCGTAAGTGCGTTTCACTGGATCTTTTCCCTTGCCTATGCTGATCTAATGGTTACAGATCCGGTTGCATGGAATGTTGGTGCACCGCATTGCATCGGATCGGCAACCTTACTCCGGCGCCACCCTTCGCCGCCGACGGTGCTCTAACCACCGGAAAATCGCCCAAAAAATATTTAAAAACCCATAATATTAAATTAAGCCCAAAAAATTCCAGAAAAATTCTGAAACATTCCGGAAAAATTCCAGAAAATTCCTGAAACCTAATTTAACCCTTTTGGACCTTCTTGAAGCTTCATAACATCCTTTAATGAAGATTACATAGCTTTAAATAAATTTACAATTTGAAATACAATGGGAAAAATTAAATTACATCATTGAACTGTCAAACGGCTAAATCAAAGCCTTAATTACATTCATCCAAAGATAAAATTACATTCAATCAACCTATAAGCTTCATCCATGACCCAAACATACATCATCATTCATTCACAATTATACATACATGATCATGTATTAATATATATCAATATATTAAATCATACATCAACATACATTAATAAATTTATATTTATGCATATATAAATTGGATCCATGAATAATGATTTTGATAAAAAAAAATATGATCTCTAGTAATGAATCAAACCATGCTCTGATACCACTCAAGTCTTAATTAATTATGAGTCCATCCAGAATTACCGACTATGAACAATTTATGATTACTATTTATATTCATGTATTGATCGTCATCACATACATATATAAATATCTCTTGTAATGAAGTGGGCACTATCAATTCTATAATGAATGGAAGCATAATACATTGAATTCACTAATTGTATAAAACATAAATATTTCAGAAACGTCAGGAACGTATGTCACTATAATCCAAATAAGAATTTGTTATGCCAGGGCATATAAATCCTAACAAGATCATATATGAACTCAAAGAGGCTAAGAGCCTAAGATATGAATCCAATTAATGAGCTTAAAAATATAATTATTGGCTCATTTGAAATAAATTGCTTAAGATATTTTCATCCGAAAAAAATGACTGATAACTAAAAATATGAGAGCATAAGTTATTTGTCTAATGATACCTAATAGAATAAGGGGTTTTGAAAAAAAATTCATTAAAGATCTTGTATCAACTTGTTACACTCAAGTAACAATATATATATTGGTAAATGCCACAACCATAGCCCTATATTCCATGTCAAATTTATGTTCTTCTTGGCTTCGCCATTTTCGCTTAACACTCCTAGATGAGGATACCACATTCCCAACATTAATCAATGGGAATTTTACAGCATATGACTCCCACAAACCCCAATCCAATGAAGAATTTAAAGAAGACCTATTAGAGATTTTAGGCTCTTGTTGCTTTCCACTCCATAACCACCAAGACAAATAAGTAAATGCCACAACCATATCTCTCATAATCCAAAATTTTCAATGTACTTATGCTTTGATAATTTAAAAGAGACAAAATATTCCAAAGATGGATTCTATTTCTGCCAATTATGGGAACAACTAGATAAGAAAATTGATTAAGTAGATAGAAACAAATAGTAATAAAGGTTTAAACCTAAACAAACGAAGGATGATATTAGTGTCTATATTAAAAATATTCTTTGTTTTTCTCAGGTTCTTTGTTAGCAAACAAAGGAGTCATATAACATCTATTTTAAACATTAAGTGGATTGACCCTTCATATTTGATCCAGAAAATATAGATCAATAGCTTAAATATAATTGATATCACAAACTAAACTGAAAAAAAAAAAGAAAAAAAAACTAGAACCTGAAAAAGTGAATATATTAATAAATCTTCACATTTTTAAAAAATAAAAAAATAAAAATTGATCCAACATTGAAATGGAAACAATCTGTTTTCAAGCTCAAACTTTTTTAATGTTAGAGAAAATAAATTCCACCTTTAATTGTTCCGATCCAGGTATCAGAAAAAAAAGAAAAAAAAAAGGAAGAAAAAAAAAATCCTAGATTTTGCCTTCTCTCAGAAATTTGGAATATCAAAAGAAGATTTGAAACAATAAAAATAGTAAGGGTTCTAAAGAAGATTGCAAGAAGAAGTAAAAAGAAAATAATTTGTTTTCAAGCTCAAACTTTTTTAATGTTAGAGAAAAAAAAAATTCCACCTTTAATTGTTCCGATCCAGGTATTAGGGGAAAAAAAAAAAAAAAAAAAAAATCCTAGATTTTGCCTTCTCTCAAAAATTTGGAATATCAAAAGAAGATTTGAAACAATAAAAATAGTAAGGGTTCTAAAGAAGATTGCAAGAAGAAGTAAAAAGAAAATAATTTGAGCTTCATATGTATAAGGGATAGATATGAAGAGAAAAAAGAGGACCACACATCTTCACAAATGGCGAGTGAATTGTGGCTTCCACCGACTACAAAAGAAGATTGCAAGAAGAAATAAAAAGAAAATAATTTGAGCTTCATATGTATAAGCGATAGATATGAAGAGAAAAAAGAGGACCACACATCTTCACAAATGGCGAGTGAATTGTGGCTTCCACCGACTACAAAACGGACATTTTGGGGCTTGAGAGCTTTCATTGTGCAAATCCATTATTTTTCTTCACTGTTGTCTTTTCTGGACTGCAACTTCTCCAGAGCCCCTGAGAGGAACATAGGAAAGGAAGATAATATTAAACTAAAATCAATTTTTTCGCAAACAAAAAACCCAAATCCAAACCCTAAAAAGCTCCTTTACGACCCAACATATATAAAAGATCAAATCAATCCCAAAAAATTATAAAAAGGAAGGTAATATTCGAAAAAAAAAATGCTTAGATGTGCTATTCTTGTTCGTCAGATACAAAACCCTAAATCAAATTTTATAGTTAAGAGACAGAAGAAAGAGCTCACTTTTGTTTTGTTTGGAAGAGCTATTTGGAAGAAGATGATGATTCGGGGGAATTTCAAAATTGAATCTGAAATTTTCAAAAAGCACACCAACACATTAATAAGTCTTTACATGATGTGGGACCCAATAATTAAGTAAATAAAATAAATATACGATGTATAAATAAGTATGTACAGAATTGGTATAAGAAAAACTACAATAACTATTCATTTTACCACCTCTGCCACATCAGTCGTGGGGCCCACCATTGGACACTTTCCAGTGAGATGCAAATGAAGAGGATTTTTTTCCCAATACTTTTTCCCTCGGTCATTACCCAGTAGCCTACCAACGAGCGACTAACTTTCCTATCGGGTGGATCCATGTTTGAGCCTCTCACCTCGTAGTTTGCCAAAAAAAAAAGTTGATTTTAATTATGATTAACTCTTTTAATGACCTAGATCTAATTATTAGGTCAACTTGCTCAATTTATGATTAATTAAATTATATGATCAATTTAAACATCCACAATTACAAATATATGTAAAGTAAAACAAGTTAGAGTTAGAGAGATTGCACCAAAATTTTAGCGAGGAAACCCCAGTTGATAAAATACGTCAATTATTTGCATGAGAAAAACCTCGTGGACTATTTAGTCCAAAGTAAACCGATTCACTATGTTTGAAATAAAGTACACCGAACTTTGACTCTAGCTCACACCCTATCGTTCTACACGACACCAACCGGTGACGATTCTCTGGCTTTGCAACTTCCCGTCCAACCGCAACTTGACCTCAGGCTTACACTTGATATTTGTAAAAGAGTAGCAGGTAGATCAGACAGCACTCCTCGAATGCTCCAATCCTTTCAAAGTGTGATCGCTTTTACTTCTGTTCTTCAAGATCTGAACTTGATTGTAAAAGAAATAAATCCTGCTGATCATCTGGAATATCAGAATCTTCAATACAACTCCAATTCTGATGAGATAGAGAACAACACAACTAAATCACTCATGAATATATGTGTGCTCTCAAAAATAAATTCAGAATAATCAGATTTGATTTTCTGAATTTTTCTCTCTCTAAAAGGTTTTCTTAAAATATTGAATTGATTTTCCCTAAAGCCATCAATAAACCTAAAAAAATTTCGTACACAGGACTTGGAAAGAAGTTGGGATCAAAAAGGAAACAATTAGAACAGGAAACTGAAAGTTCTAATGCTGTCAAGACTCTTGCTACCTGTTCCCAAATTTGGTACCGGTTTAAGAAGGACTTCTGCTACCGGTTCCCAAATTTGGTACCGATTCAAGAAGGTCAGAAGCCTTTTCGACGCACTTTGGCTACCGGTTCCCAACTGTGATACCGGTTCAAAGTTGGTAGTGAACAAATCTTTTATGAACCAAAGTTTGCTATTGGTTCAAAGATTATCCTACCGGTTCCTACTAGGCAGAATTGAATATTTCAATTTTCTTCAGTCTTCTAAACTCCTTAAGCGTTCTCACTCACTCACATACCTTCCCAAAGCATTGTTCTCATCATCGCAGAGTGTAGCAACTCATGAACATTTGAACTTCTTCAAATCCGCATCCGATCTTCAATTTTTGAAATTTTGAACAGAAAAATTACAACTCAATTGGACTTGTTTTAACAACGAAATTAGCCAATTATAAAATTTATATCTTACATGTCCATGTTCGAGTCTCCCAAAAATGGGATAAGGACCTTTTTTTCATCAAGTTGAAGGCAATAAAGAAAATTGTAGCCAAGGCTTGAGGCTTACCAAATCTATTTAGACATTGGAAAATAAATGAGCATTAAAAAATAATAATAATAATAATAATCAGTTGGGAAAATGAACTAGACATTTTATTAGCTTTTTGTTCGACGAATATATATACCATTAGCTCAACCAGTTTCCATTCCAATGACTAGTGTCATACAAGTCATACAAGCATACCTCAAAGTCATGGCATACAATCTACGGATGCACAATAAAACAAGATGATACATATTGATTCAACATTGATACAATTTTCGTGGAGACAAATAGAGCCCATAGCTTTGAATATGTCAAAATCGCGTTCCATCAGTGATTTGAATTACAGTGCTTGCTGATGTTTAGTTGCTAAGTGGATGTCAAAATCGCGTTCCATCAGTGATTTGAATTACAGTGCTTGCTGATGTTTAGTTGCTAAGTGGATTCCTGATGAAAGTTCCAAAAAAAGCTATGATAAATGCAACCAAAACTGTTCTCCTTGCGTAAACAACAGACGGTGCATCAGAAAACTTGCTCTCTTAGCCTGGTCTCTGCAAGACAAAAAATAAATCGTATAAGAATTTGAATGAAAATTGAGATTAAACCCAATCCTAAAACCATTCACATTGGTTTTGATGGAAAATAGTAGCAGGCAAGTTTTCTTCATATACAATGTTTCATTCCCAATAAAGCATGGAACTTTTGTCTAGATTTCTTTGTCCAATGGAAAAATAAGAAAATGATGAATGCAAGTGAAAATTTCATTCTAAGGCTACGTTTGTTTGGATGTAAAATATATATATTTTTTATTTTCTGGTGTTTTGGTTGTCGTAAAATATTTACGAAGAAAAATAAAATAAAAACAAAACAAAAAAAACTTATCCCTCATTTTCGGCAAGTTATTTTACACACCACGCCCCAAAGGACTCGACCTCAACCTAGACCTTTGCCAAACACCTAAAAAGTAAAAATAAATCTTTTCCAAAAAATATATTTTACGTCGAAACAAACAAACGGAGCCTAAATCAATTTGATATATGAAAATTTTCAATCTCAACTATTTCCTGTCAAAACAAAAAGGAGTAATTTCTTGTTAATTGTAGCCGTGTAGGTGAACATCTTACTTCTGTAAGGATGAGAATGCACCACAATAGATGGCATTTTTGGGCTAAGGAAGCTCAGTTTCTGTCTGTGTTGGTTTGGTTCTTGTCTTTAGCAGTTAGTAGGCTTGTTGTTAGGTTTTGTTTTCTGCTGTAAGCTTGTTTCTGTCTGTATTTTCATCATTTTTTCTATTTCTTCTGTAAAATTTAATATCTTTTTAAAAAGATGAAGAAAAAGGTTAAAATGTTATCAAGAGATTACTCCATTATACTTTTTTGTCTCATAACCAACTCACTGATTGAGCAGGCACTACTTGGAACTGAAGTTTCTTGTCCTAAACAGTAGCCAAATAGGGTTTTCGTGTGCTCTACAAGCAGAAACAATCAAACACCAAGACCTTAGGAGGTGTTGGGAGCTAGAAGTTCACAAGCATTCCAAGTTGGTTCCTCCTTGGAACTTGAGCAAGGTATTGATCAACATTTGAATTCAGTCTGCAGGAAGAAAGAACCAATAAAACAAAGGATCATCCACACCATGCTCTATACCATCCCAAAACGTCACATAAGCCCCTATAGTAACAAATAACCCGCAGAACTAACAAAAATGATCTTTTTACCACTATTTTGTGACCTCCATGGTTTGATATTAATTTAAGGTTTAATATTCTGAACCCCCTATACTATCCAAAATCAATCATATAACCCCCCTACCATTTTCCCAATTCCGTTTTCTAATTCTATTATCTTTCTAACTATTCCTTAAATAATAATTTATCGTTTTCTAATTCTATTCTCTTTCTAATCTTTTATTTATTTTTAATACACCTATACTTATTATTATTCAAAGTACAAAGAGTTTCAGATCATTTATTTGTTTATTTATTATTTATAATGTATTTTAATAATATAAATTTACCCTTTTTCCTAATTCTATTGTCTTTTAACTCGAGAATACTTAGATAGAGAATATAATTAGGAAAAAGGTAAACTATTTTTATGAAGGGTTAGAAAGAGAATAGAATTAGGAAAAAGGTATATTTATATTATTAAAAAAATCATAAATAAAAAATAAATAAAAGAGCCAGAAAGATAATAAAATTAGAAAAAGATAAATTATTATTTAAGGAAGAGTTAGAAAGAGAATAGAATTAGGAAAAAGTAGATTTATATTATTAAAATAAATAAATAACAGGTCCGTCACGAAATGGGGATAAAATGATCACTTTTGTTAGTTCTGAGGGTTATTTGTTAATATATGAGGTAATGTAATCAAATTGGATAGTATAGAGGGGTTTAATGATTTTAACCCTTAAAAAGACATCTTGGTCATTAAGGGGCTAAAAAGGCATTTTGGTCATATAATATTTAAAAATTGGCAATGACAGGCATGTGCTAGTGTTCGGTTACTTTTTAACGCCAAACAAATGGAATTGGGGTAATATGATGGATTTGCGAAAACTAATGGAGTTTTTAGATAGTTTTCTTTAGTATAGATGGTTATATGATTGTTTTGGGATAATATAGGGGGTTTTATGATTTTACCCCTTACATCCTCAGTGTAATTCAATGATACATGGGAATTGCTATATCAAGGTCATTCTCCCATCAATGATTACATATACTCTCTTTTTTTTTTTAATTTTTTTTATTCACTAGTCATTAGACAGGAAAAGTAAAAATAAAAAAATAAATTACCATGCTTCTCTTTCCTTCTCTCTAAGTAGCCATTGAAATTCTTTCATATTGTCTTCCCTGCCAACCAACGGCTAGAAAAGTCCAATGCTTCACGCGGTTTGTATTCTGGGACGGTATGTCCAGAACCCTGCACCAAAGACATAAAATAGCATGCAAAACTCAATGCCGAGAAAGAGGAAAAAGAATAGGAGAAAGTATTAAGTGGCAGCATCCGCAGCCCTCTGTACCACATGTGGAATCCACATATACCACGGACTGTGGAAAGACAACATCCAAATAAATGAATAATTACAATATTTGTTATAAATGTGGTTAGGCTATGTTCGGTTGTATGAAATGTGGTTACAATATTTGAACTAATATTTTCTCCAATTCCAATTCCAAAGCTCCAATTCCATGCAGCCAAACACACCCTTAATTTATTTGAGACAGATTGACAAGGTAAGTGTACGGACCTTTACAGTGAGGAATGTGAGATTGTTATCATATCCTTGTATATACCTGAAGCCAAATAAGATATAGTTAGTGGGTGTCGTTCCATAATAATGAACTTTTCATGGAACAACATTTTGTTGAGGACTGTTAAAGACGGGAAGATATAAATTGGCTTGTTTGGAAAGTTCAGAAAATGTTCTTATAAATACCAAATAATGATTAAACAATAAAATTTATAGAATATTAACGCTTCTTCATGATTAACAAGAACAAGTTCCATAGTAGTAGTCTAGTAACGTACCCAGCAACTTGTCCATTGGAAATCCAAGGCCTCCATTCATCCACAATTTTGTATCCCATGGATCGTGTCCATGCTGCACTTCCAGTGTATGGAATACACATATCATGGTCCCCGCTGCAAGAAATGTAAAAATGCATGAAATTAACATAAAAAAAACTATCAAGGATAATCTAAGCCAAACACAGAAGTGCATAGCAGTAGTCGTAAGTAGCATATCATATAATAATGCTACCAATAAAGATGCATAGCAAATGAAGAACATAAGGTACCTCTGGGAGCAGACTGTTGTCTAAATTATATATATGTGTGTGTGTGTGTGTGTGAATTTCTCTTAGATTTTGATGTCATAATAGACATTTGATTGTTATGTTGAAATTGAATATGATATAAAAGAATATTAATATATTAAACTATATTCATAAGAAACAAAAAGTTGGAGAGAGAAGTATCACAAGCAGGTTGCTAGATTCACTAGTTTTCTCAATGCGGTCACTGTTTCACAATTGAAATCACTTTTTATTACTTATTTATTTATTTTTTGCACGTAGACTTTGAATAAATGGTTATATGTCCCTGATCTCTAGTTTTCAATGAACTACAGAACGTAGACCTAATGTAAATAAATGGTTCATGCTCTCATTATAGAACATAATATAGGCTCTAAATATTTTTAATGGAGAAAATTTTCTACAATTCTTAGTAGATTCTCTACAGCACCAACTCCAGATGAAACTACAGAGGAGCAGAGCTAAATGTGGCATATTGTTTGACTTGTGAACTTTTAACCATGAAAGCACTTCCATCATAAACTAAATCAGTTTTTTTTTTTTCCTTTCTATTTCCTTGAAAGTAATATACTCCAAATTAGGCAATGTAAAGAGAGACTAAAGTGAAAGCAATTTTGGAATCTTACAACCAAATCAAGCACCAAATTGTTGTAGGATTTTGAAATTGTTTCACTTCCCTATGAATCATTAAGGTTTACAACAAAATATACAATGATATAGCAAAAACAGTAGAGCAGTAAATAACATTATAGATGCTGATCTACCTGAAAATGAGTGCCCGATATCCTCGGGATGTGAGGTTCTTGTGATACTTGATCATGCTTCCAGAATCATGATGAAATAAAATTCTGCCTGTACATAACTCCCAACTGCCTGATACGTTTTCCTAATGTATCATAGGGATGGTAAAATCAAAGTTCTTAAAGCTTGTAGAAACTTATGTGCTGAAATATTACCTGTTCAGCATGAATTGCTTTCCGAACTGCTTCATTGTTCAGCCATGCAGTTGCAACTTCATCATCCTGCATGTTGAAATTCGAACACGAATCATAAGAATGCTAGTGACTGATTTCCATAAAGTGGAAAGTGGCCAAGCATCACTGGCCAGATAAAAATAAAGATAGCCCCAACCCACATAACAAATTACAAAGATGCCGTGTCAAGATAATGAAAACAGGGAACATGCATATGCAGAGTTTCAAAAACCGGTTCATTTTGCACTGAGACTAACCAGAAATCAATTGCTGGATTGCCATGAAAGTAGACCGTTGCTGAAGAAGAATGCATTTTTGTTCAAAGGACATAACAAAGTCATATGCAACACCTTTTTTGGCATTTTTCTTGCCCTTGTAGAGTGCTCTAGTCACACCAAATGTTTGTCACACCACTTGGTTCTACCAATGAGTGATATTAGATAGCTCACTTCCTAATTCCAATTATATATCTAATCACCATCCCATTTGAATCTAATTAACCAAGCTAAGCTTACTGTAAGGGCAGATTTCTTGATTGCTCAACATTGTTTACCACATTTTAAAATTCAACAAGGCTGACATTAGGCTCATATTTATATGCTCAGTTTGATCACTGTGCATGATTAGACAGCACCGCAAAAGAATCTCTGTTTGTAGTGTCTCATAAGCTTATATGAAAAAGGAGAAAAAAAAAAAAGTATGTCTAGTGATGGTAGGTATCCCTAGTGAAGCTAATGTTAAATGTTCAACCAAGATGAAAAAAGGAAATATGTCAAATTTTGAAAATGAATGTAATAGATCAAATGATTTTACTGTGGCAAATGCTGCAAAGATAATTTTCTTTTTTGGTAAGGAAAGCTGGCAGTGTGGACATACAGCTTCAAGCAAACTAAGTCACTGGAAATCACCTGAAATAAGTTCAAGAAGGATAGGAAGTTGAGTGACTTACAGTGCATGGAAGATTGTTACTGTTGAGAAGCTGTGGCCAAGTTGGGACAATTCCATCTCTTACGGAAGCTCTAAGAGGCCAGGCACGACCAAACATTCTTGTTCGTACAGGAAAAGGTCTTTCAGTCTCGCCTAATTTCCTGAAGCTAGATGGTAACCGCATGTAAACATTTTCAATGCCTCCCGTTTCTGGGCTATGATAGCATGGCTCTAAAATGTTGTATATATTTAAAGCTTCAATATCCTGAGTTTAGTCAGAATATAAAAGAAAATAAATCACATGTCTACACTATCTGAAAATTCTTTTATGCAATGGTAAAAAGCACAATCTTACTCTGTCAACTTTTGCAAGCTTGTTTTCACAATTGGTGCTGATTGGATTATAATAATGTCCTTGACACTCGGTAGTAACTTCCTGCAGTGTGTGGCATTAGCAGAGATGTGTTGTTGAGAAAGAAGAGAACAATGGCAATTCATAGCCTCCGATTCAACATTTAATATGAATCTGGTTGATTTTAAAATAAAGTCCCAAAATTTAAAAAATCCTTGAGTTCAGAGTCTGAAACTAACAGTGAACCTCCCCCTCCTCTCTTCTCTCTTGCAAACTAAAAATAAATAAATAAACCGACACACTTTGAAATCATTTTTAGTCTTGGCTTTTAGTTATGTTGGTTTCACTGAATTATTCTTGGACTAAGAATTAACACTGAACCAGCAAACAAAAAGCTGATCTCAAGTTTACGTAAAGGCACCCAAATGCAGCTAAATAAAGAAATTAAGTACCCCAAAGCTAAGTAAGGCCATCCTCAAAGTAATGTGTTACCATTACACTAAGCAATGGCCCAACTCTCAATAGCAATAAAGAAGGAGAAGAAGAAGAAAAAAGAGAGAGATATTGAAATAGGTGGAAGCCTCAGATGTAGTTAAAACTGGAATGGCCTTAAATGGAACAAAATGCTAAAATTGATAAACTCTGCGTTGTAATGTGACTTCAGAGCAGTACTTTCACTTATACATTGAAGACCTAATAGTAAGATCAATAGGCACAAATATACCCTTGATCAAAATGAGAAGCTCTCTACTCACCTCAAATAGGTCATCTGGGATAAGGCCCATTCCGTGCGCAAACGGAATAAATGAATTGCCATCAAACTCCAAATCTGTAGCTCCATTGCCCACCATGTAACCCTATATTCCATCTACTTAATTTGCAGCAAAAACTTTTGGTTATAAAAAAAGAAATCCTAGAGAAGACATACCTTGAATTTGAGAATGGGTTTTACGCCAGCATCAATTCCTGCGGAAGATCCAAAATTAGATCTTAGGTTCTCATCCCAACATAGAGTTTAGAAATTAAAAGATATACCTTTTGCTACTTCATAAGCCAGTGTCGGCACATATATTCCAGCATATGACTCTCCAGATAAAAAAAATGGATTGGAAAAGAACTCCGGATATAGCTCAAACCACTAGTTATATAACAACAGTTTGGAAAACATTTTAGGATACAAGAATGCATATATATATATATATATATATATATATATATATATATATATATATATAGGTGTGTAAACATATCTGTGCTCTTGATTTTATTTTATTTTTTTATATTAAATGATACCATGAGGAGAAATGTGTGTGAATCAGAAGCAGTCTTTAGGTCCCCAGTATCATAATCGGATTTATTTCCTGAATAAGAAAATCCAACGCCAGCCGGAGAGTCCAAATATATAATGTTGGAAACCTGAGAAGCAAATATCCATAAAGGAGCTGATTTCACACGATATGGGAAGATAATAGTCGAAAAACAATTATAATTAAATCCCACATATATGACATACATTGATGGAGAAAATAAGTCCTATATTTGTATAATCTTATACGAGATTAAATTAACTTATAACCTTGGACCAGCTGTACGGATTGAGATGCAGCCGAGGCATGCTTCCCCGTGGTTTTCCTAATTCAAAATTGAAGGGTCCTGCAAAATATGATTGAAGATTCTTGTATAAATTTGTGGGAATGGGGGGAAAATTTTCTTTCTCTTTTTTTCTTTAATTTTTTATATGATAACTGAGAAAAAAAAAAAAAAAAATCCAACCTTACAAGAAATAAATGTTCTCACAAAATGGATCATTTGTACCATTTCTAATTGCAAGAACACCAATAATGTTACATTACAGTAACTGGACAATAAAACTAAAACCAAAATGGAACCACTTTATTCAATTTTGCTTGACATAACATTTGAACCAGGAAACTGTTGAATTTGAATAGAATCACCAAAATGATAATCTTGGTATTTGATGAAGAAAGGTATATATATATATAGTATGTGTGTGTGTTTTATGTGATTCCAAAATGTCCCTTAATCCACTCACACAAATTCAAATCCCTCTGTGTTTGATCCTAATGATCCAACTAATCTCACAGGTACACAAGATACAAAAGAGAGCTTTAATCAAGGGTTTTATTTTATTTTTTATTTTATAAAAATCCAAAAAGAAAAAGAAAAAAAAAAAAAAAACATATGGGATTCACAAAATTATCATTGAATTCTTCAGTGCATAAACCAGGGGCCAGTTATTCATAATAAAAATTAAATTACAAAATCATTTTCATAATCTTGGAATATAAAGAAGAAAAGAGAGTTAATCAAATACCATGCTCATAGACGAATCCATCAAAGCTCGAGCACCCCGGTCCACCATTGAGCCAGAGGACCACAGGGTCCTCTGATGGATTCCTTTCAGACAACACAAAGTAATAAAACAGTTTCTTCCCATTGTTCTCATCTATGGTCACATACTTGCAAACCCATGTACAGAAATAAAACACAAAAAATCAAATAAATGAAAAACCCACAAAAAATCAAATAGAATTAGGTTAGAAAAACTAGAACTGACAACAAACAAGTGTAAAGATATTATATATATATATATATATATATACATACCCAGAATAGTGTTTGGAAGGGAAAGTGCCATTGAAACCAGGAATCTGTGTGATGAGTGCACTTTCAGGAGCAGATTGTGTTGACACAGAGCTGAATAGAATGTAAGTTAGTATGATTATTATGTGGATTGAGTTACCATTCTTGGCCATGGTCAGCGATTTCAGATTTCTTGAATCTTATGGGAACTGTGAGAGAGAGAGAGAGAGCTCCACTGACCACAAAGCGGCATTGGAGGAACTAAAGCTGAAATAACATAGAATATTAAGGTAATAGGCGACAGCAAAAGATTCTTGTCAGCGCCAAAACTGGGTCCTTTTGAAACTATTTTTATTTAGGCAAAAGTGCAAAAAAAAAAAAAAAACTATCCACTTTATTACAAATTCCTCCCTAAAATACTAAAGTATGCAAATACCACCTAGGACTCATCGGATCAATTTTTCTGGCGTGTGTAAAGTCACGCGTCTGGTGAAATTATGATAATGTCCAAACTGCCCTTTTTAATATATATATATATATATATTTATTTATTTATAAATTTATTTTTTTGTGATATTTATATGTTTAATGGTGTATTTTCCTCTCTCTATATATAGAGAGAGAGATTCAGTAGTATAGAAATATATATAGAATATAGATTCGGTAGTATATAGACATGGAATCTTTGATAATACAAAATAGGGTCTTCTTATTATTATTTCTCAAAATCATTCTACTGCCATTTTTCATCAAACCTGCTAGAATACTAGTTTGTGTCAGAAAAGATCAACCGGAATTGAACCAGTGAAATGATAATTAGATAAATGTAGGGTTACTAAAAAAGGCAACCAAGAACAGATTTGTGTAAGAATTGAACCGGTGAGATCGTTACTGGAGAGATCGAGAGATTGCAAGCTATGACAGTAGTGTAGAGACTCCGGAAATTCGCCGACGAGATGCATACCGCGAAGCCCGAGGTTGAAGAGACGGTTTTCAAAATCGTTCCAGCATGAAACTCCGATGAATTTACACAGAACGCGGACTGAATTGTTGGTGAAAGTCCATGAATTGAGCTTGCCATGAGGGTCAGTGAGAGAGTTCTTCACACCTTGCAAGCACTTCACATCGTCTTCGACGATGGAAACAGAGACAAAACAGAGAAATACAATGGAAATATAGCTGAATAATCTGAAAATTTTCATGAGATTGTTGTTGATCAGAGATGTGAGATTGGTTTTGTTTTGTTAGGGCTTAGGGTTTTAAAATTCAAATTTGTGTGTGTATAAATGAAATTTAATTATCAAAATTTAGACATATAATGCAATGCATCACTCTTCCTTCACAGTCAATCCAAGCCATTTCATTCAGACATATAATTATCAAAAAAATAAATAAATTTGTATATATATAAACTGTGAAGCCTTGGTCGCTGTTCTCAAGGCCGAGTCATCCACAGCCGAACCAGCCGCCACCAACTGCAGAACTCACCGCTGTTCCACGCTCTCTACCGCGAGCCGTCCCATCATCTCTGTTGCCGCCGTCGGGAATCCTCTAACGTCGCTCTCACCACCACCCTCTGCTGCTGCCCAAAGCCCACAAACGCTGTCGACATATTTTCTAGCCGTCTTCCTCAACTCGCCGTCCCGAGCACATCCTTACTCGTTGCGGTGGGTTATACAAAGCTCTCTACACCGCAGAGTCCTCCAATCTCACCGATATTCCCACCTCGACAAAAAATAATTTCATTGTCACCGGCAGTCCACTTTTTTCATTCATGATCTCGTGATTGCCGTTCATGGTGATGATTTTCCCACCACTCCTCTCGGTTTCGTACTTCAATTTCTGGATGAAGTAGAGGATCTTGATCTCATCTCCACCACGGTCGAGCATGTCACCGACAAGTGTCAGGGCTTGCTTTGATTTGTGGAGGTTGCCATGGAGGTCGTTGATTAGGCCGGCGAGTGTCAGGGCTTGCTTTGATTCAAAATTTAGGGCAACTTAAGTTAGTGGGGGGTATAATTGGTATTTTACAATTAGTTTTTTTTTTTTTAAGGGTTAAATGCAAAAAAAACCCCTGAACTATTAGTAAATTTGTAACTAACTCCCCTGAACTACCAAAATTGCAAAAAAAACCCCTAGATTATACAATTTTTTTGCCGATCACCATCCGGCCACTACCCGTCCAAAAATGGGCATGTGAGAATTACGCGATAGACAAACTAAATTTTTTGGACAATAATGCCCTTCCATATATGAAAATACCAAATTGTCCTTCTGTGCGGATGATTTAGGTATGAATTTGTTAGTCTTTTTCCGTTCACATTTTTTCACGATTCCAATTTGATTTTCTTAATCTGTTCCATCACCATCAAAACAAACAAATATATATATATATATATAAACACACATATATATAAACAGTAGGAGCTGGATCCGTATGAATCAACAACCTTCTCCAATCTGATTTTCACGATGCTGATTGCGGAAGTGGGGAAAGTCGTGTGTGGAGGTGATGGTGGTGTTGGGGCGGCGGCGGCGGCGGCGGCGGCGGCGGCGGCTATGGTCAAAGAAGAAGACGTCGATCACCATGGACGGCGACGATTCCCGACCGACTGCCACAAATTCCCCGCCGCTGCTGCTGACGACGACTTCATCGTCGAACACTGCCTCCACTTCAGCCGCAGTTCTTCTACATGCCGATTCAATCCATCACCGCTGCCGCCACTTTAGCCCATCGCCGTCACCAAATCGGAACCAAGTTCTGGGAAGTGGTGTGCGTAGAGCACATGATGTGGACAGCGTTTGATCCGGACCATACGACCAGGTCTTCCTCCCTGACAACTTCGTCTTCAGCTAGTCCGGTGCCGGCAACAATTGGGCCAAGCTCATCGAATCCGGCCGAGCTCAACAATTGGACTGTACAGACCGGGATTCTCTCGCCACAGCCGCCGGATCCGTATCGCCGGTTCACTGCCGCCGTTCATCCAAAGCGTCCTAAGAAATATTCTGCTCGGCGGCATATGAAGTGTCCTAGTTGTGTTAAAATGTTTTGGCAAAAAAAAAAGTGAAAATTACATATACATGGAGTCAAAGTTTCATATTTACTTAGAGACTGAGTCAAAGTTCCATATTTCTCTAAAATGGATTGCTGAGGTGGCACATGGTTTTTTACTATTTAGAAAATTATGGTGCCTAAAATGCCCTTTCCTGACAAAAAAGTAGTACTTTTAGTGTAAAAAAGTAGTACCTTCAGTTTAAAAAAGTAGTACCTTCGGAGAAAAAGTAGTACCTTCGCGGGTGTTTAAAAAACATGGTACCTGGACGCCAAAAAGTAGTACCTTCAGTTCAAAAAAGTAGTACCTTCGAAGAAAAAGTAGTACCTTCGTGGAAGGGTATTTTAGGCACCACAATTTTTAAACAGTAAAAAATCATGTGCCACCTCAGCAATCCATTTTAGAGAAATATGGAACTTTGACTCAGCCTCTAAGTAAATATAGAACTTTGACTCCATTTATATGTAATTTTCCCAAAAAAAAAAGTAAGAAGGGTATAAAACAACGTAGTGTATTATTATAAGGGCAAACTGGTCTTTTAAATTTTTCGGCTCAGAAGCTGACGTCATGGGGTAAATTGCAACAAAATCATAATTTAGGGAGTTTTTTGTAGTTTAGGAGGGTTTGTTGCAAAACTCTAATAGTCTAGGGGAGTTTTTTGCATTTAACCCTTTTTTATATAATGAAATAAGTATGGTTATTTCGGTCATGGAAAGCTAATCCAGTGAGTTCCGTGCGAGGGGAGGGTATTTGCACACTTCGATACTTTAGGGTGCGATTTGCAACAAAATGGATAGTCCATAGATTTTTTTGCACTTTTACCTTTATTTATTTAAATAAAAATTTACTTTGGACCAAAAAAATCCACCGAACTACTTAGAATCAGAACCAGAACTGTTAGACCCTCAATCGTAAAAGACTAGAACAGTTTAATTATGAAATAGAGTTTTAGGACTTCAAAACCTCCCCAAAACAAAATATATATTGTAACAAGATACGGTTAAAGGTCTCTCCATGCCACAGTAGTTTGGTAACTCACTGTTAATATTTGAATCTAATACTGAATGTGAAAATGACAGTTCCAAGCCACAGTAGTTTGGTAACTTACTGTTAATATTTGAATCTTGTTATAGAGATATATATATATATATAGTGGGGCCCAAAACTATATTACTATATATATATATATATATATATATATATATATATGCAAATTGTAGGCATGCAACTTGAAAAAGTAATGATAGCAGCAAAATTGTATTGACGAAGGAATCAAATGTAATTGGTGCACATGACTGTCTTAATCGGCATCATCTCCTATAAAACCCACAACTATATTTTATGCATATTGTAGACATGCAACTTGAAAAAGTAAAGATGGCACCAAAATTGTATTGACGAAGGAAGCAAGTGTAATTGACACACATGACTAAATTAGTCGACATCATCTCCTATAAATAGGAGTGATGCTGTATTTTATCAAATGACTTGAAGGAAGAGAATTGAATCAAAACAGCTTCCTCTCTCTTCCCTGTTTGTAGTTTTTCTTTTACTTTTATGACAAATCTAATATTGAGTGTAAAAATGAGAGTAAAAATTTTACAACATATAATATTGAATGAACACCATTAGGTTGTGTACCTTACTTATAAACACTGTTAATATTAGAATGTAATATAATTTTGCATAATGGGAGTACAAAAAAGTTCTCCTCGAGGCTCACACTTATTTTCCTTAATTTCTTATATATACAATATATATATATGTGTGTGTGTGTATATATGTGTGGTTTAAGGTTTGGTTTGATTTGGTCCTAATGGACTTAAAACCAGAGCCGAATCGTAAATTAATGGTTCCTTATTTTGGAATCGAAATCGAATAGTAGATTTGATTCGTACCAATTTTTTGATTTTTTTATTATGCACCTCAAGGAGATACCATTTAATTTAATACTCGATAGTGTAAATCTTTTAAATTTTAGATACAATTACAGATCATATCACTCATTTACACTGGTACACCCACTCGAAAAGCTGAGTGTTCTGCCACCACTATGTAATTTATTAGTAGTGCTTATTAGAGGATTTTTCAATAGTGTTTGTTAATTTATTAGTAGTGCTTATTAGAGGATTTTTCAATAGTGTTTGTTAGTGGATGCAACATTTTTAAAATAAACAGTCAACTGATAAATTATTATTTTCTTACAAAGTAAATTAAGTAATATATAAAAAAAAAAAAAAGCACTAAAATTATACTCAGCATCTTCTAAAAATGCCAAAATTGTAGCACAAATTTGATGAAATTGGTAAGTGAACTTTTTGTCTGAATGTAAGACAATTTTGAAGTGAAAAAATGTGATCATAAAGTCCATAACTTTGATCTAAACCCCCAAAAATAACTATTTATTATAATTTCAAAAATAATATCAACAGAAAATATTTTGAGAAATCGAGTTACCCCATATATCATTCTTGTTTGGAAAAGATAAATGAGAGAAGAAAAAAACTACTTTATACAAAAGTACTATCATGCCCTAATGTTAATAATATAAGACCCAAATGTCTTTTAAAATTTCTTCTTAAAAATATTAAAGTTATTTTTGGTATTATGAAAGTTTTACATAAGTTGGTACTTGTTCTCTTCAAATCTTTTCACTTTTGAAAGAATAGCAAATGAGATTTGGAAAGTTGAACTATACCTCCAAATATTTCCTTGTCCTTTCTCCCAAACCAAACATGAAAATGATTATCCATCAGTTTCTTTTATTTTCCTTCCAAATCCAAGAGCTGAGCTATGAGTCACCACAGTTCCACGGGAAAAACAAATGGTGGGAAATGCTATACGTTATGCTCTAATCAATTTTATTGTTAATTGAACTCATTAGAAGGGCCGCTCTTACTGAACTCAATATATTGTTAATTGAACTCATTAGCCAAGATAATACACACTGAAAGAAATTTGTTTTTATTTATTTATTTCCAAAAGTCAACAAACACGCACACCCATAACCACAACATGTCTCTAGCAATGGCAGAACTGGAAGTCCCAACATTTTCTTTAAGGTGGAGAGACCATCATACCTAGGGATGGCAAAAATCCCCACTTTGACGGGACCCGTCTCGTCCCACCCCGTTTGGGACAATTTTGAAGAACCAATTATGTATTAAGGGACGGAAATGAGGGCTACTTTGAAAAATTCAACGAGTTTTGAGAGCGATTTCAGGGAAGGGCTACCCCACCCTACCCGAATATATTATAAATTTATTAAATTACCTTTACATATTATGATAGATTGCTAAAATATATTAAGTATATATACACACACATGAGGAAACCATAACCCTCGTTTTGTTTCACATCGTAAGTCTAGTGAAAAAAAGAGAGGCACAAGTAGGGATGGCAAAATCCTTACCCCGGTGAGAGCCTGCCCCATTTGGAGCGGTTCTGGAGAACCAATTATGTAAATGAGGACGGAGATGAGGGCTGCTTTGAAAAATCCGACAGGCTTTGGGAAATTTACAGGGGTGAAAAAATTAAACAGGAATGAGGATGGAGAATGAGATCCTCACCCCCAAACCACCTATTGTCATCCCTAATCATACCAACCGAACTAGTGGCCGGGGGTGCCACCAAAAGAGTTAAAGCTACATTTTTAATCACAAATGTAGATTTTGGATTAATAAGTGCCTAGACATGGATTAGACTTTGAGAGCAATTATTTTGTGGATATATAATTGTCCTTGTGGAGTGCTCTTCCTTTGGCATGATAGCATGAATAAGCCAAATTCATCATCCTCCAATTCTGTACAGGCTGACATATAAAGGATAAAATGAAAATTTTATGTTCTTTCTTCATGTTGCTCAAAATTACCAAAATATATTTAGACATAGGAAAATGGATGAGCATTTAAAAAGTATAAATTTCAATCAGTTGGAAAAATGAACCAGACATAGGCTGCTGAGTCCCATATGATGAGATTTAAGGCCTCTATTTATTAGCTTTTAGCTCAAACATTTTCCATTCCAATGACTTCTGTCATACAAGTATACTTCATAGTCATGGCATGCAACAATGAGATTACATATTGATACATAATAAAACAAGATGATACATATTGATTTAACATCGATACAATTTCCATGGAGACGAATAGAGCCCATATCTTCGAATTTCTGCTATTTTTGCTTCGAACTACGTCACAAGCGCATTCCTTTAGTGATTTGAATTACAGTGCTTGCTCATGTTTGGTTGTGAAGTGGTTACCTGATGAAAGTTCCAAAGAAAGCTATGATAAATGCAGCCAAAACTGTTCTACTTGCGTAAACAACAGACGGTGCATCAGAAAACCTGACTCTCTGAGCCTGATCCCTGCAATAAAAAATAAATCATATAAGAATTTGGAATGAGAATTAAGATTAAAAACCCAATCCTACAACCCATTCACATTGATTTTGATAGAAAATAATAACAGGCAAGTTTTCCTCAGATACCCATCATACCCTGTTTCATTCCCAATAAAGCATGGAGATTTGACAATTTGACTAGAGGTTTTAGTCCATTGAAACAATAAGAAATTGAGGAATGCAAGTGAAATTTTCATTCTAAATCAATTTGATATATGGAAATTTTGAATCTAGAAATTTCTGTCAACTATTTCTGGTCAAAACAAAGAGGAGTAATTTCAGGTTAATTGTAGCTGTGTTGGTGAACATCTTACTTCTGTAAGGAGGACAGTACACCGCAATAGATGGCATTATCAGGCAAAGGAAGCTCAGTTTTCTCTCTGATCTCTGGATTTACCACACTCACATAAGCTTCTTGACCCAAGTACCACGAGTTGAGGTTCTGTGCACGGAGGTTCCAAATCCCAGCATTGTCAAGAGAAACTAAAATTGCTGTCCAAGATCCAGGAAACACCTGTAAGCAAATGAGAACTGAAGTTGGTGGTTAAGGCACCATCAAGACACGGTACTCAGAAGCTTCGTAACAGACATGAACAGTAAAATAGCAATGTAATCGCCAATCCAGGGCATAGTTGTTGAAAAAAGGTTACAAACATACTCCGCCCTCTAACACACAAGCAGAAAAAATACAAAGGAAAAACAAATCATAAAATAAACAACAAACCAAGACAGAAAGCCAGACTAAAGGTACATCAGAAGAATAGTACTTTGTGGTTGAAGTACAGCAACTCCTCAATGAAAATAAAGAAAAACGCGCATTCAGTAGAAAATTCTACCATCAAACTCATCCTTAGAGCACTTTCTGTCTCCTTTTACGTAATTCCTTGCATACAAACACTAGGAGAGCGGAGAAGAGAGAGAGAGAGAGAGAGAGAGAGAGAAGGGTGATTAGGGCCATTCCCCCCTCCACATTCTTGGATTATTGTTACTCCTGTACTTGTTAGTTACTTAAAAGATCTGGGAGTTTAGAAGTAATATGTGGCTCCGCCAAAGTTTCAAACCAAGAGTTTTCAATGCCTCAGATAACCTCAAAGTCGGCTATAAATATTTCAAATGAGCCCAATGTAAACTCTTAATGTTTCCGAAATGAACCCGGCATAAACTTTTCATGGTATCAAAATGAACCCTGCATCAACTTTTCACAATTTTATAATGCCCTCTACAACGAATTTATTGGATTTCTTAAATTAACCCGCTGTGAACTTTCCATATTTAAAAAATGACCTCTATTTGACCTCTGGTACAAAATGTTGTGAATTTCATATAGAACCCAGGAATCTCTTCCAATATTTTCTTAAAAAAAAATTTATAATTGCATTCATATCGTCAAACATTTGATACAATAAATTAAAAGACTTTTTTACCATAAAAAACAAAAAATTATATCTAATTTTGTGCCTTTCTTATCTTAAAATTTTGAACTTCTATAATATAAAAAAACTAAGATAGACCTTACAAATGGCATAAATACTTATAATATGTGGATTTATTAAGTTCGAATTCTATTTAATTTAAGTACTGATTTTGGAGCTTTCAATAAATTTATAATAACTCTTTGATTTGTTGGAATATTGTGAGGCTTCTTTATCAAGCTGCTTGGCTAGATATACTACTTTTTGAGATGCGTCCAGCACACTAGACGTATTTCTCTCATCTAATTGGAAAATCTTCCTTTTGCTATTGATGAAAAGTGCATTGGAGGCTTTCCGATACACACACACACACACACACACACATATATTAATTTAACCAGCTTCTTCATTCAAAAGCCCCATGAATTCAAATTTTGGAAAAGAATAACCTGAGTAGTGCAACGAGCAACCCCATCCCATTTGTTGTAAGTGCCTCTGCTGTTCTCGGTCCATACACCAACGTCCATGCTACAATCCAAAATGGAAATTACTTAACATTCTTCCGGTTTCTCAAATTCCATGGATTTGGAATAGAGAGAGACATCAATATATTAAAACTTAGAGCTTACCCCACAACAAAGAATGCATAGCCATCCATGTGGTAGCTCTGAACAGTCGTATCATTGTTTTGAAATATGATTTCCATAAAACCTCTGTAAGTACCATTAATTATAGATGTGTCAACTTTTGCTCGCTCGTTCATCAGTCTATTTGGGAAATCAAGCTTGTAAACCCCTGGAATGTTAAACTGCTGGGCAAGCTTCAGGGGTGTTGAAGGTGTGAAGTATGAAATACCATTAAGGGTAGTACGCCATTTTCCATCAATAAGCTCTGCAGGCCTATTGAGAATCACATATACTTCGGTCACGGTAATGTCACCATATCTGAAAGATCCCTGTGGGTTTGGACGAGCAGCGCCAGCAGAAACGTTCCATCTACAGATTATAATGCCATCACAAGAATGTGACATAGTCAGCCCAGCATTTACTAAAAACATCAACATTAGCCAAATAAACAATTACAACTACATGACAATCATGGGAAACAAAAAGATTTAAAAAAAAAAGAGTATTAAAACCTTCCCTCTGAAGCTTTCTTGTAGCATTATTAACATCCTCTCTAACAGAAATTATAAACTTCAGCAGTTAAAAATACTAGATATCCTGGTTTTAAGATTTAACATTCAAATCATTGTTGTCAATTTTATAATTGCTAAGGCGACGAGATTCGTATTGGAGGATTGTATATTATTCTACATCAAAATCTATGTAGAGGCCAGCAATACTCTGAGGAAAACTTGGTTATTTATTTATTTATTTAGTTTTCCAGGTAAGTGAAAACTTCTGATTATCCAATAGGAATACTGGTTTACTACAACCTTATGGATCTTGCTTGATTCATTGAGAAATATGTGTCAGATCCGTCAGGGGGATCTGGAAGAGGACCTAAAGCAGGCCCCTGAGAATTGGAGTAGTGCAAGATAGCAACTCCTGTAGCTCTAGCCCAGGCAGATGAATTGACAAATCGTGAACTGGCAACGATGTAATAATCACTGCTAGCACTTTGATCCATTGTCACCAAGAATGAGTATGACTGACCAACATGAATATCCATGTTTGTGTAGTTCTGCTGAACTGTGTATGATCCTTCAGTTTCAACAAGAAGCAAGTTATGATTTTGGATTCTAAAATTCAAGCTAGTAGAGATGCCAACATTGTGTACACGGAGGCGGTATGTTTTTCCTGTTCCACATGAGACACAAACCCATAGTCATCAATGCATGTGCAATACAAAAAACTGAGTAAATGTATTTTATATTATAAAAACAATATGGCCATAATGTAAATGCTTTTAGGAAGGATACGTTAGAAGCTCCTTGTGATTTTCTTCTTAAAAATTTATTGACAAGAGGAGTTCTGGAAATCCATAAATATAAAATGCTATTCATGCTAAATTTAAATTGATTAATATCACTAAACACCATACATGCCGGCCAAAAGGTTACCTGGTTCAACATTTATCGTTGGGTAAGCAATACCATCAGGAACAAGTGTCTCATCATAGCGATAAGGACCTATTCCATTCAAGAGGACACCGTCAGGAGCTCCAAGGTCAACTCCACTTTCAATATCTTTCCTAAGTTCCTGTTACTCCCACAATCATTGGTCAATACCCTAAACGAACAAGAACATGTATAGTATTAACCAAAAGCAGAGAGCAAAGAGCATCTACACAGACCTTATGGCTCTTTGTGTACCAATCACTAATAAAGATCGTGATATCTCCATCTGGTGTTCCAAATGGTACTGGTATGACGTCTCTGTTATTTATGATGATTCCCCCATATCCGCCTGCAGCTCTCTGGAGGCTTAGGGAGGGAAAGTAAAAGAAACTCCCTATTTGATCTTTAACCTGAAACTGATATGTCCAATTCCAACCAGCAGGGATAGGACAGTTTGTTCCTGAGACACCATCCTGCCACGAGTTCTTCCTATGCTGTATGCCATTCCTGCAATTAGATTAGCATGATCAATATCATTATTGTCATCACTTGCTATTGTATTGACCTTTCTTTTGTCTTGATAGAATCATACCATGTGAGAAGCAATGGTTCGTCAAGATTATTTTTGACATTGACAACAACATTCCAATTTGTAGTAACGTTAAGAATGGGTCCCGGAAACTGCCCTTCAATTCCAATCACCTAAAATAGATATAACTCATTATCACTTGACGGCACAAAATTCATCAGTAAAGTAAAATCAAAGAAAAACGAAGCATGATATTAAGGCAATAAAATAGATCAAAAACTTTAAGGATGTAACAAGAAAGGATAAGTAAATAAAAAGATAAAAAGAATAGTCAGTAAAAAGGACAGAAAAAAATCTTATATAAGTAGATGGGTATAGAGCCATTTTTCATAATAAAAGCACATTTTAACAGGTATAACTCTACAATAACACAAATTAGAATAGAAAATCAAACATTGGTATAAAGAAAGATTTTCATTTCACCCAGGGCTTGTAGTCTAGTGGCACTTCCTCATCATCCAGAGTAGAAAGTGGAGGGTCAAGTCCACAAAGGAGCAAAGTGGGTGCGTGAGTTTCAAATAATAATAATAATAAATAAATAAATAAAAATCAAGTAACCTTCAAATGTTACACAAAGTGCAAGACATGAAAAAATGGTTGTTTGAGCAGTGCTTTTAAAGTCTTGGCAAATGGCGAAGCTGGTCTTAGCAAAACAGATTATGCATTAAAGTCAAGTTATCTATGTAACTATGTCATTGATAATATGCTGATGGGGTAAGGACTGAAATCCTAAGCTCTGATAATGAGTTAGCGCAAGGTCCGTAATCAAGACCTTGATGGGAATGAATAGGTTTTGAATTCTAACTAACTAACTGAAAAATCAAATTTAAATTAAAACTAAATATCAAATATCATTCAATCTATCATGCCAATCATAACAACCATTCAATTAAAAAATAAAAAATAAAAGCAACATAAAGCATGCACAACGGACACCAAAATTTTTACTTGGAAACCCAAATGAGAAAAACCACGAGACCTTGCCTAGTCAAATTAAATTTACTACACTAGGTTAACAGTTCAATAACCCCGAAACTCCTAGTTACCTCTTGATACAGACTGATCCACCAAACTCAAGCTTAGTTTCCAGGCAAACAGTCCAGAACAGACTTTGCTCGTCATGAATCTACTTCTTCAATAGAAATTTGGATCTCCAAACTAGTTGTCCACCCCAATCACAGTTGATTGACTTTTGTGTGGTGTTGAGCTCTTCAATTCAGCTCTGTAACAATTCTATTGTCAATACTTATATATGACACTCACCAATCTAATGCAATATGATTGATGAATGCTTAAACAAAAATATATATTGCCTCAATTATGCTTAAAATCAATCTAGCTTATGTATCTCTCTGCGTATCTAGATTCTCTGAAATAATAGGGTATTCATAGACTAAACAAAGTTGTAAAGAGAACAAGGGTTTTTGTATTTTAATCCTAAAAGAATACTACTGTTTCAGACAGCTCGATTGATCGACATACAACCGGTAGCCTTCGATTGATCAATCGATCGATCGAAGTGCCCTGTGCTCTATACTTGGAAAACTTTCAGAATTAGCAACTTCTCAAAAACACTTGTGCAGATCAATTAGGATTTTCAAAAATCAAAACATGCAATCATGAAACCCTAATATATGAATGCATGAACCCTAATATTGGAGAGTGCATATGTGTCTCAAATTACCTTTGTACCCTTGGCTTTGGAGATTACACTTTTGCCCTTGGTTGAAACTTGAATTCCTACTGTGACCATGACAAAGAGGTAACTAAATTGACACTAACTTTCTTTTTGAAATTCTAGCTAAATAAAAATATAGACTCTAGTGTTGTTTAACAAAATATGTCAACCTAAGTCTTATTAACCTAATAATACAAGTGAAAAAATAGGCACAAGTTTTGAGCTTAAATTGTGAAACTGATAATCCAATATCTCTGTGAATTTGAATGGTTCTTATGAGTCATTCATGCAACATATTATATCATGCGTTCATGTTATGTGCTTTATGACCACATGACAAGTCATACCAATCTCCCAAGAGGAGGATGACCTACACTAGCATCTCAGTACGTGCATTGGTCTACAATTCCAGCAAAATTAATTAAAAAGAAAAAGAATGTATTTACCTACTTCAAACAACTTTTCTATTAAGCTCATAATATTATAATGTATGCGATCTCAAATCACATAGTATAGCAGAGAAACACATGCCATAATGGATGTTAATCAAACTTCTTTAATTACAATTAGGATCAAACTTCTTCTAGTACTACAATTAGGATCAAACTTCTTCTAGTCGCATATCTTTTATCTATTATTTTTTCTAGCTCTTAAATCTTTGCCGCTTGTTGAGGTTAATCCTCCTTTGTGATGATTCATTTGAAAAATAAGGAGTAATTTCTCCACAGATTCTATATCTATCTATATGAAGAAGAAATGAGGGGATTCTTATTTGTGCAAATGGTACTTCGAACTTGGAACGAGCATGAAGAAGTTAATGATAATTCTTTATCTTTTGAGTAGTTTAGCAGGATGGATCAGGTGTTGTATGTTCTTTAATGGTCACAATTCTAACTGAATCTTTTAACTTGTTAAGAAAGAAGAAAAAACTTATAAGGATATGGCAGATATTGAACCAGTGGCAGCCAACTCCACTTACTTGTATCTGACAAAAACCCAGTATACCAACATTCAACATAAAAAAGGTATGTCAGAGATCTGACAAGACCATAAGGCTCTTGGACAAGCTACATCTGTGTTTTGTAGACTACAAGTGGAATGGCATGATCACCTTTGCCTCAGCTGTTGCTTTACTGAAGATTTATGGCATTAAGTTTAGGAGAAATGTGGCCTAATCTGAAAAGCTGGTACTTGGGATAAGTTACTGACATGGTTGAGCATAAAACTTAAAGGTAAGTCATTTCAGCAGAAGATCCATTACACTGTCAGTCAAGTTTGGTTAGTCCAAACCTCAAAACTCTCAAAGTCACACAAGCTAAGCACAAAAGCCATTAAAGATCCAAGTGCAACTATGAGTTAATTCAGCATAATCTTCCTTGAAAATAATAATAATAATCCCTTTCTATTCATCTACTGATTCAGACTACTAACAAGAAAATGTCTATTAGTACTGCCAATCATACAATTTGAAGGTACCACAACAGGGGAAAAAGCAGCTACTAGAAGGGTTACATTTCATAAGATGATTCGGCACCTCTAAGCCCCAGTTCTTGGAACAAAGTATAATTTGAACACATTTTAGAAGAATATCATGACGCATTGATTTTTAATATTCAAATTTAATATTCCTTATACCCCTAAAAAAAAAATTGCACCTTTACCAATAGGAAGAACAAATCTCATCTCCATATAACGAACATGGAGTCCCCCAACCCACAAACATTGAAAAAAAGCATAATTTAGTTCATTATATATAATATTCTATTCATACAACAGAAACAATTGCAGAGAATTTATACACTATAAATTCATTATAATATATATATATATATATATATATATATATATATATATATATATAACAAGAAGATAGAATTGGAAAGAGTAGAAAGAACCTGCTGTTTAACTCCAAGGGGAGAGGCTGTGATGTATGAGACAGTCCAATCATAGAATACAAACGGGTCTCCCCCTAAAGCCCCAGTAAACAAGCAGAGAAGGAAACAGCAAGAAATGGGTATGCCGGAGGGCATTGGATTGGATACTATTCGCTACAACTGCAAGTGAGTTCTCACTTCTCAATTATGATTCTTCTCTCTCAGCCACCGACACCTTACAGTTTATTTTTTCTTCGATTTCTTTTGTTTTTATTTATTTTTGAGTATTTTTATGGATATGAATGTCAAATTATCAATAATTGAGAAAGAGTGAAAAAGGATATTTGGGGATCTGTGCTCTTTCGGCAGTGCTCTGTGTGTGTGTGTGTGTGTGTGTGTGTGTGTGTGTGTGTGTGGTGCTGTGCTGTGCTGTGCTGTGAGAACGCTAGAAGGTGGCCATGGAGGACAGCTTGGGTGCCTGACCGTCTGAGACTCCTCCCGTTTTGGGCCCCATTTTTCTATTGGAGCCACCTTCTGGCTTTCAAATTCTGCAAACTTTTTGTGCATAAAGGTTGCAACTTGCACAAGAGAGACTAGTTGTAAGCAAAATTACCTCCAATTTCACGGTAACTAGTTTTCTCTTTTTGAAATAAGTGGCTGTAAGAATACCGCGTAAATTAAAATCACTGAGTAACTAATTTTTCAACGCACCACTAGAAGGTGTATTCCAAATACATAAAAACTTTAAACATTATATTTAAAATACGATATGACTTATTTTAATAGAGAAAGTGGGTCCGGTTTAATATTATTTAACTCTCAATTTTATATTTTACGTCTTCTTTCTCCCTTTTCTTGTTCTATGGTATTTTATTTTAGGGGTTCTAGTGAAATTCTTTTGATTATCATCAAATTTGTTCCATTTGTCTGAATAATTATTTATTCATTCCAAATTCATATTGTCTACGTAGTTTAAATTGAATTTTTCTGATAACAGTCAATTTTCTTCACTTTGTCTAAAATTTGTTAGTTTATTGATTTATAATTTATTGTTCTAGAATTGAAGAAAAAGATAAGTTTGTGTTGGTGTTCTTCTCTCCGTCTTTTCGTGTTTGTTCATAGTCTTTTTCCTACTCAATTACTTACTGCAATTATTCTCTTTAGTAAAATTTTGTTAGGATTTTACATATAACATAAGCATGAAATAAAGTACGTACTGTTTTGGATACAAACTACGTATTGCTTTGGATGTTAAATAGATTATAATTTGAAGTAGTGTTTCTCCAATTAAAGTAAATAACTATAATTCAAAAAGTATGAAACATTTTTCCTCCAAAATTATACAGGTTTATCCTCTCCAAAATAGTGGATCATCCGGTGATTATAATTTGAACTAGTATTTCTCTGATTAGAGTCAATGACTATCATCCATTAGCAGTATGATGTTTCTCTGATTAAAGTCAATAACTATCATCAAGTAGGATTATGTTAGGATGTCGCGTACAACTTATATTTACTTAAATTACAAACTGTTTGGATGTTAATTACAAATAATCCATTAGGATTATGTTGAATATTGCGTATAACTTATATTGACTTAAATTACAAACGGTTTGAGATCTGCTTGGGATGTTACGTAGTACACAAATAATTAAACAAAAAAATCATACCAGTCCAGATATTGCTTTGTTAATTTGGAATAAAATGACCTAGTATATGAAGAAAATGAATGAGAAATTTATAGAAACAAGTGAATAGAGATCTACTATTCGTTTTGGAAACAAAAATCAAAATATGTTTATTTCCTAGGCATTGCTTTGTTAATTTAGAATAAAATGACTTAATATACTAAGAAAGGGAAAGAAAAATTTATGGAAACAAACGAATAGAGAAGTAAATCTGTAATTCGTTTTGGAAACAAATAAAAATATGTTTATTTCCTATGCCTGCAGTGGCTTCCATAATAACCGATGATAGCTTCCATGACAACCATATATAAATAAAATACAAAATTTTAACCTTTCATAATTTTTACTATTCATTTATTATACTGGAGGAACTGGATGCACTATGCTATCCGGCTAGTTGTTAGTTATAGTGGTTTTTATTTTTATTTGTTTTTTAAGTGGTATTTATTTATTTATTTTAAGTGTTGTTGGAGCTCAAACTAGACTATCAAAATTGAGTGCAATCTCAACTCAAACTCATATAATAGCATGTATACTGGTTCAGCTTCACTCATGATTTAAAACTCAAACTCAAGCTTATATTATAATATAGGAAACATAAAAAAATAATAATGTAATATTTTATTATATATATATATAAAAGTAATCATATTTATTCATTATGTCCACCTCCTAATCATGAAAGAACTAATTAGGAATTTAGAATTAATTTTTTTTATTTTAAATTTTATATTATTATTTGTATTAGTGCATAATTTATTTTAAATTGTATTGAATTTTATTCTTTTAATAAAAATAACTACAAAGTCACGTAGTCGTATTTTGGAAATATTTTGACCGTGTCCAACAAAAAAAAAAAAAATCAAATATTCAAATTTCAAAATACTTTTAGTCATATATGACATGTGTTAGGATCATCTCAAGTATCTGACCCAGCTACAACACTGTTAGGTGGAGTGTCAACACTTCCTAGCTTATTAGTCTTGCATTTTTTATTTGTTGGTAATTGTGGAAAGGGCGCAATAACTGAAATATATTTAATGGGGTCAAATGGAATCCGGTTCTAATACCAAGATTATTGGGTCAGACATCTCAATTGTTCTCAGATTGGGTTGGATTGCTCGGTTTCATTTTTCCTTGTCCATCATTCAATTAATATATCCTTCTTTTAAAATAAAAAATTTGTTTGCCACAGTGGCAAGTTATGAATTGTTTTAGATTAATTTTTTAGTAAATAAGTTTACTTAAGTGAAAAAATGAGTTTAAGTTAAGCTTTTATTGAGTTGACCCGAGCTACTTCAATTGTAGTAAGTAAACTTAAAATTTTTTGTGAAAAAAAAAAAAAAAAAAAAAACCTTAAAGTCCTTTTTGTTCAGAAAAATAATGTAGTAATAATTCTTCTTCTATTGTTTTTTTTTTATTTATTATCTCCTTGAATTTGCAGTAAAAAGTTTACCTGAAAGTATTTTTACAGTAAAAATAATTACTTCTGCAACTAAGGAAAAACATTACCTGCATTTAGGTGGGCTAACCTTGGTTCTTTTGGGCCCTTATTGGGCTTGTAGTTGGTGTGTCCCATATGTTTTCTTGATTTTGCTGCCTTGGGCCTATTGGCTTGCCCCCAAATATACTTGTAATTATTTTTATTTTGCTTTTATTTATACTTTAAAAAAAAACATTACCTGCAAATCTGCAATCAACTAGCATCTCTTGTGAATTGTGAAAAAAAAAAATAAATAAAAAAAAATAAAAAATAAAAAAATAAAAAATCTATAAAAGATTAGTTCAAAATTGGTGATAGAAAACCTTAATTCGAACACTTCGTACACAAAGACCATGGGGGACCCACTTATTGAGTACGAGCTCAGAGGAGCTTTGTGAGAGGTTCAATAGGACAAATTATTAGATACTCTTGAATCATTTGATATTTAGTGAATCAGTTGAATTCAGATTGTTATTAATATTTATTTGTGATATATTAATACACTTAAGGTAACAAAATTTGACATGATTTTTTAACACGATACGAATACAACACTAATTAAGCGGGTTTGGATTGATTTTAAACAAGTTCGGATCATAAACAAGTGAATATAATTAATCCGTTTATTTAATCGTGTCATGTTTGGGTTGATGGTTTAATCCGTGTAACTTGTTTATACCCGTTTAACTATACGATTATAAACAAATTTCTATTTAAGTTTCAAAATAACATCTAAACTTATTCTACTATCTTATTATTTATTTTTTTGTAGATTAGGAATTATTTAGTAATATGGTTGGATTGAAACTTATTATTTTATAATATTTATTGTTTGATTGAGCATTATTAATAATTTAAATAATATAATGTTTCGTTCGTTTAATAAATAGGTTGGATTAGTGTAAAGGATTTCTGACATAATTATTAGACGCATCGTATTCGAATTGAGCTGTTTAGTAAAATACTCTTAAATCAACACGACATAATTACAACCGGCAAACATCCCCTTATTCACTCTTGCGAGCCTGAATTCTTAGAAACCTTTTGCCACAGTTCTGAGTACTCCAAGCCTTCTGTGTACGCTTCTATAACATCATTCTTGTACAACTAATTTTGGCAGAAATGAAGTTGATAATAAGCAAGTTACCATGACTTGCTCAAGCATTGTTAGTCGAAACTTGAAAGGCAGCCAAGTTTATTCTTTAATTTTACTCTTAAGCTTGTTTGCTTAATCATTCAGGGTTTAAGCAACATGGTCGCCCATTGATAACAACCCTAATTAAACTCATGGAAAATTGAGGTAATTAAAATTTGAATAACTACAATGATTTAATTCCTCAAGAAAAAACTTATCCAAGAAAAAGAACTATAATTAAAAATTGGGCTAAATTCATAACACCCCCTTTTTGTTTCCAAAAACATCATATAATCCCCTCAATTATCAAACAACCTCCTAAATTAACAAAAGCTATCAACAAAGTTGATATCTTTTCGTAATGAAACCGTTAAGTTATTGTAAAATGACAATAATGTCCTTGATATTATATTAATATTTTATTAATTTGAAATTATAGTGTGAGAAGGACAATTTCGTCATTACGAATTACAAAGTTATTTTGGTCAACAAAATGGTGCACTTGTTGCACGTGATTGTCACGTGATACGACCTTATTAGTTTTAGACAAAAAACTAAAGGGGAGGGGGTGATATGATATCATTAGTTTTAGATAGGAAACTAAAAGAGTAGGGGTGATATGATAGACATTTTTAAAATATCAAGAGGTAATATGATAATTTATTTAATTGAGGGGCGTTAATTGATAGTTTTTAAAAATAAGAGGGAAGTGTTATGATTTTAATCCTTAAAAATTAAGTAACTATAATGAACTCTTAGTTTTAGAACCCTCCCATAAACTACTACTTGACACGTGAAGTTCTCTTGTCCCATGTGCATCAAAAAATTAGTAAATTTTTTTTTGTTTTTTTTTTTTGGAACGGTACAGGTAGATATTCTTATATTGTTTTCATTGATTTAAAAGCCAAGTTAATTACTTACAGTATTTTTCTGTGTTTCATACTATGTATGAAAATGTTTGCATTATGTCAGCATTGGGCCAAGGTTCCTATCTGTTGCCAATGAAGCCTTTTGCTTTCATGGGGTTTCACTTTCCGCATTTCACTCTGTCCCATTATCATCTATAGTTATCCATTAATTTTGTGTTCCTACTTTGGTTTTAAGATTTGATGTTTGAGCTGTCTCCCATGTGAATTTTTTTAAAAAAACGATATCAAATTAAGGTATCGTATTTCTTTTGTGATTGATTAAATCATATATATAGTCGCTACAAGATACGCGTCATTTCACGAATGAGATTGAATAAAGTTGCGTTAATACAAAGTTATATATCTATCATTCTGTCACGATCAAAAAATTCAGAACACAACAATTACATTAATAATCTCAATTACATCAAAATTCTTTTAAGATCATACAATGCAGCCTCAATGATATATAAATCAACAACTAAAATACACAATCAAAGGAAAAAAATAATAATAATAAAAAATAAAAAAAACTTCAATTTGACAAAATAGATCTACCGCACAAGCTCATTTGCTTAAGTTGCACCTAACAATCGTCGAACCTCTTCGGTACCTGAAATTGGGAGTGGTGAGACAAGGGTGTCCCAATAAATTATGCACATGACATGAAATAACAAGCAAATGGTCTCAATAGACGCGCATAATAATCATAAATCTAATTTTCAAAAAAATTCAATTTACCTCATTTCGATGAAAATTGAATTTTACATGAATTGTTTTGTAACTAATGCGCATATTTCATTGTAAGAAAATTGCTATCCCATTTTCCATTCAACTTCTTTCGTTTTCATATCGTGGAGTATAATAGCATATAATGTATTCAAGATTTTTTATGCTGGAATGTTGTTAATTGATACATCATATTTACCATTTCTAGTATAATGTAAATATTTCCTTCATACTTATAAAGCTAATAAATTCTTTTAAATGAAATTTAAGTTGATTTGTCATTATCATACAGAACCAATTAAATAATTCAATAAAGGATTTTGTTCAAAGACTTAATCATGCATTTAAATGAAACATTTGAATTTATAGCTAAATAAACTCAGAGACCAACAAAGAATTTCCTAACTAGGGTCCACTCTTGCATGTGTCTTGTCCCTAAGTCCAACATTTTCTTGGGTCCCACCAATTTCTCTTAATCATTTGTCACCTTATGATTGGTGTGACCTTTTCTTTTGGATTTTGAATTCCTCTACCATTTATAAAAAAGTTTGTTGTACATTAAATACAATTTTATCTTTATCTCCCAAAAAAAAAAAAAAAATTTTAAAAATTGTTTTTAAGATATGAGAAAATTGACAAAATACCAAAAAAAAAAAAAAAAAAAGAAAAAAAAACCTATATATTCTATGTCTAAACTTTGGCAAAATAAGAGCAACTATATATAATGTGTGTATATATAGTAAGAAGGAAAAATATGTATGTGCAGTTAATTATTATTATTTTTCTCTCTTCTAGGCTAAGTTTCTTTGAAATTATTATAAATGTAGAGTATACATTTTTATTTCATGATTATGAACTTCACGCGATAATAAACAACAACAACAACTAATCAATATGAATTTATGTACGGACATCTAATGAGACCAATCTAATAAGACCATTGATGTAAATCCAAAGCTAAATAAATAAATAATCCGTGTCTCTCTTCTATGTGTACCTCTTACTTTTTAGTTATGAGTGTTGATTATTTAGTTAATATGAGTGGTTTTGTTTTATTAACGTTGTAGTGTGAAACATCTTTTTTATATTTCAATCATTTTTAGTATATGTTTATGTATTGTTAATAATAATGTTTTCTTCCATCTTTCAACGTAGGGACTAAGAAAAGAAACATGAATTTTGCTTCATCATAGTGCCTTTAATGGGGACACAATTCAAACACTGTCAATACACAAAGTTTGCTTGTAATATTGGCTATGAAATTTTGATTTGTAGTGCCAAAATTACGGGCAATTATGTCATTTGGGATATGTAATTTGATAAAGGCCCCTAGAATTATTCGCATTGTGTGAAAATGAAATGCAAGAATTCAAAGTTTTTATTCTCACCACATTCACAAGGAATTTATGAATTGTGAAAACGAAATGAGACAACCGATAACTCTCATCCGTGTTGATTATACATTCAATCATAATTAGGTCTGTCAACGGATCAAATCGATCAAATTCATGTTTGATTTGTAAGTAAACAGATTATCGGATCATTAACGGATTCTCGGGCTGGATGTCCCAATCCATATCCTATTTAATTCGGACTCGAATCAATTCAAATTTGGATTTTAATTATTTGAATTAAAATCATACTTACTAACATGTATAATTATAAAGTTATAAAGTTAGATGAAACAGAGAATTGTTAATATACTGAATGTTACATGGTATAACTATGCAACCAAATAAATATAACAATAAATAATTAATATATATAAATTTAGTAGTATATAACTAATTAATATATATAACATTGTTATATATATATATATATATATATATATAATCCAATCGGATTATTATCAGATTGGATTACTTATAATTCATATCTCATTTGTTAAGGTAACATATTATCGTATTGTGTTTTTTGGATTATTGGATTATCAGATTGGATAATTATTATTGAATTATCGGAATTTTTTTTTCTTCTAATTCATATCTAAATAACCAGGGATTCAAATCGAATACCAATCTATTGATAAGTCTAATCAGAAGTGTGAAGAGAGAATGCGAAAAACAGAAACTCCCATATGTGCTGAATCCCATTTAATCGACTGTAATATTATTATTCTTTGATAAAACAATATTTAAAAGAAAATTTTCAATTCTAACTCAAGTTGACAGACACAAAACAAGTTGTGGAACCTACGAGGCTACAACTTAAAAGAAGAAAATTCCAAAAATTAGCAAAAATACACAAAACAATTGCTTATCAAAGTTGCCAACAATCTATACACTTGCATCACTCATAGAATAAATTATGCCAAGACAAAATCATAATTATGTTATCACGCCAGCCTCACTCTCGCCATCTTCACATGCTTTCTCTCTCTACAATTATATATATATATATATATATATATATATATATATGTATGTATATAAGTATACTACTATTAGTATATACTTATATAGTAATGTATATATTTGCAGGCTTGCAGCTACATTCATCGTTGGACCATTTATCCTTCTCCTCGTAGATGCTAACCTGTGACACCCTTCTTCAGATCCATCTGTCAAAAATACATACATACATATATAAATATATTATATGTACGTATACATATATCTGACTTCGGTTGCTGTATATATACGATTACTATTATAATATATCGTACTTATCATCTACCAGTAAACCTCTGCGATTCCACGCGCTAATTAGGTGCGTGGTAGTTGACTACCTTGAACCCGTGGCAATACATAATTCAGTCATGTCCAGTCTGTATCATAAAAAGTCCAAACAAGACTTCAATTACAGATATACCCCGAACAGGTCTCCACGTGGCGGCTAACTATTAGTTAAAAATAATACTATCATAAACCCGACGGCAGAGGATACAAATGTCCCCACTCTCACCACCAATAATTGGTCATTTCTTCTATTAATCGTCTCTCTCTGTATTTGTTGCTGGCAACAATGTCTTCTTCTCCTCCACCTCCACTCTCTCTCTCTACTTCACCACTTTCTCTCTCCTCAAAATCCCTTAAACCCTTTCCCCCAATTTTCTCTCTCTAAAACACATCCAAATTGCTACAAATGCTCACAATTCCCATGCTCTAACACAGCCCAAACCCAATCAAAACATGTTCTTCCAATTCCTTCTCTTCTCTCTCCTCTCACTCTCGACCCATTTCAGGGTTTTTGCCTCCGACCCATTCTCTATCTACGAAGTCCTTCGATCCCATGGACTACCCATGGGTCTTCTCCCGAAGGGTGTGACGGACTTTCACTTGGACGACACTGGAAAGTTCGAGGTGTATTTGGATCAAGCTTGCAATACCAAGTTCGAGAATGAGCTACACTACGATCGAAACGTTTCGGGTACTCTCACATACGGGCAGATTGCCGGGTTGTCGGGTATTTCTGCCCAAGATTTGTTTCTCTGGTTCCCGGTCAAGGGTATTCGGGTCGATGTGCCGAGCTCGGGCTTGATTTACTTCGATGTGGGTGTGGTTTTTAAGCAGTTTTCTCTGTCAATGTTCGAGACGCCGAGGGATTGTATGGCTGCTCAGTTGCAGGGTCTTGGAGATGGAAGGGTCATTGTGGACACTGTGTCTAAGGTCTTGTTTCATATCACTATTTAGTACTATTTTGTGCTTGTAGATTTTGAGGTATATGTGTTGGTTATTGAAAATGTTTTGTTTCTTAATGCTGATTTTTGTGAGACAATTAATGAGATTTTTTTGGGGTCAAATTTGATAATGTTTTCGGTCAAATTTGATGATGGTTTTGGTCAAATTATGAATTTAAAAAAAAATGCAATGTCTGGTTTTGTAGGATTGGATAGTTCATGAAAAATTTGATCATATAAATGTATGTATGCACATGTTTAATTGTGTTTATATCTGTATATATTATGTTATTTGTCTCGATTTGAGTTTTTGCAATGTGAAATATCGAAGGATGAGATAATTTCTGATGAATCTAATTCTTTCTTGTATTTAAATTTTGGAGATTTGGCAATGGATGAAATGATCATAAAAAAAAAAATATGAAGAAATTTTTTTTCATTATAAGGCATTTTGGTCTTATTGGTAGTCTTTCAGTTTGTTGAATTGAATTTGTCATGTTTATAAGCAATAGGAGTAATGTTATTTGTTGTGTGTCATCTACAGAGCCTATCGGGGAAGCTTCGATACCATCTTGATCAGGAAGATTTTGTTAATGGTGTTTGGTAGATTGTGCAAAAAGAAGATGATTCGAGTTGCGCCATAGCTGAATCAATTCATGGATTTTCCTTCCGCCATATGTACATATCTCCGGAGAGTCTGGTTTAACAGGTCCTATCTTCATTCATGTGTGCTTGCTTGCTTGCGGTTTTGTATAATGCAGTCTCTACCAACAATCATGCCAGCTCCTGTCTATGCAATAATGGGTGGTAAATTGGGTTGAGGGGACAGATTATTAGGAGACAATATGAAATTCATTGGGTCTTATACACAGAAAATAGAATGAGACAGGAGCAAGGTGATTTCAGGTGATAAGTCTGTGTAGATTTGTTTTTTATTTTTATTTTTTTATGTTGAATTCGTTAGGAACTATGAACATAACCATGGTTGCTGGATCGAGTTTCTCTTTGTAGTATAATTCTTAGTTGATGAGATACACATCTGTGATAGAAGAATAAGAAATAGAATGGCTTTCATTTATTATTTTTTGTATAACTGTAATGTGATTTTGTTGAAATAATTTTTGCTCTCTTTCTTAATGCTCGTCTTTCTCTCAACATCAATACCTACTATGTGAATAAAATATTACTGATATATACCTAATATTCTGTAGTATGCTGTAAGTTTATATTTAATTGGTGAATAAAAAGAAAAACAAGAAAGAAAGAAAAAATATTTGGGGATACAAAAGAATTCAATATCATAGATTCTCATTTGTTGTTCTTATATGTTAATTTTATTAATATGTATCATTCATTGGATCGCAAATGAAAAAAATTGCAGGGTTTTAATGTATTAGGAGTTACTAGTTTATTTACTTATCTTATGAAACTACATGTACCAATCAAACACTACTGACACTATATTGGAAAGGAGTTTCAAATCATGCCTTAGTGATATTTATTACTACTCAAAATTTACAAATGAGTCCCTCACCCTCTTTATATCCCTAAAGATGGCTTAGATGCATTACACAACTCCCTAATAGAGGGCTTAGATGCATTACACAATCAATGGCTAGGAGTCGTTATCTAGAATAATCTTATAGATATTTATAACTCTATACAAATCTATACTTCTCTAAACATTTTCTACCCTACACACTACTACAACCTACTTCTACGCAATTCTTTACTCAACTTTGAAAGAGAACTCTAGAACCCAATTCTGAACTGCTAAGCAGTCGCCATGCAGAGTCCTCAACGCTAGCGTGTTGCTTGCGTGGTGCAACATTCTTTGACGGGTTGTGAAAAAGGGCTTGCTTGCTGTTAGAAGCAAGATTAGTGTCTTTTCTTTGCTGGATACCAGGATAGTTGCTTCACCATGATGGATTGATTTTTTTTGTACCCTAGTTTAGTAGGCATTGTCGCATATTTATTTGGATACATGATTTGATTTAGAACTTTACCAATGAAACACTAGTGACACTATTCTGAGTTGGATCTTCATTGGACTTTTCATGTAAGTTATACAAGTAGTCAAGCACCTTACTGTCTTCGTTGACATGAACTCATATGGCTTGTGAACTGTCAAGCATATTTATAGATCATAATGGTGATCTACATATAGGCTGGAGAACAATCTGCTGACCGATTCATCCGATTGAATTTTCACCTTCTAGTTTAACAGTCGAATTCATCCATTCTCTAGCATTATACCTCCTTCACATGCTTCATTTAAGTAGCAATTTATATCTAAAGAAGTATGGAATACTGCACAATAATTGCTACATTGATCCCCATGCCCCTTGAGAAGTGTTACAACCTACTGGATTTCGAGTTTATTCTTGGGCAATGAATGCCATTTTTCACGATATGATCGGCCGGTGTATCTGTTAGGTTTGTGCTGGTTATAAGCTAATTGTTCTTTTTCTATTTGTATGTGGTTTGGCTACTATTATGATCGACCCAAGTTCCTCCCTGTGTTGTCCATGCTAATGTGTTTTCCTTTAGAGTCTCACAACCTCATATTCGAGCTTTGGCCTTGAGAGACTCGCATTCCGACAATCAGACATTTTTTTTGGGTGAACATTGTCGGCAACACCAAGGACTATACATGGACTGTGATGGAGCTAGTAGACTGATATGGCCCCAGTATAGATACATTTACCTGCTGCATGTCTTATCACATAAGACCTTGCAAGTGCCATTTGTTTCATTCTGTATTTGGCTAATGTGAATGTCTCTATTCAGATGCTGATAGGTTTGAGGATATTGTTGGGAATGTTTTCCTGTATGCTGTTACTTTTCAAGTAAAGATGGTGCCTCCGCAATTTTTTGATCGAAGTCGACGACTTTGATTATAAGTTCAATATTCTTAGTAAGCTTTCATATAGTTTGTCCATATCAACTAATATATATATATGTATGTATGTATGCATGTATCAATATGTTCTATTACTGGGGCTATATATGATATATCTATATGTCAATATCGCTCTGATGCCATCTTCTTTCAGAATATCAGAAAATATAAATGGTAGCTTACCTCTGCTATTGATAATCAGACAAATAGCAGGTACTAGGTGATTTTTTTAGCATTGTTGTTAAGGCGAAAAAAGAACTCTTTGAAGCAACCCTCAAGGTTTCATCTGGAATATTCGGAACTCTGTTTCGAACCACCTTGTTCTTCTGCGAAGCTGCACTCAATGAAGATTTGGAGAATGCAGGTGATAAAAATTTCATAAACTTTAGTATCCAATTTACCTCTATTACTTGCCACAATAAGCTATTGAGAGTAACACACAGATCCACCAACATATGAACTTAGAGCCATTCTTACAAACAGCCACAATTCTATTTATAGTTCTCGTAGCAGCGCAGTTGAAAAAGAAACCTGAACTTTCAGGGTCCGTTAGGTTTGTAATTATAAAAATGGTTCTCAAGAACTCAGAAAACAGATAATTATAATAGATAGTTATTTGAAAACAGACTTTTTATTACTGAATTTTCAAAAATTTGAACCAAACGGTATTTTTGTACAATTTTTTTATTTTTAATTTTTTTTAAATAGAAAATTATTTTCTAATTCTTCTAGCGTCCAGATTCAACTATTGAATTCTATATTTCTGCATACAAAAATTTTTATATCTGTTCAACTCAAAACTTCTTCAAATTCAGCCTTAGCCAAAGCAACTCTGATAGGGAGATCTCCATAATATATACTATCAGAGTTGCTTTGGCTAAGGCTAAGAGATAGAGAGGGATATATATATATATATATTATCTCTCACCTTTTAATATATATATTCATATGAGAATAGCTCAAGAATGATAGTGATAATATATAAAATCACCCATCAAATTGTTTTCGCATAATTTACAAATTCTGAATGCACCCAATGCTTACAATATATTTATGATTTTCTTTATTCATATCTTTGAGCTACTTCTTAACAATACACCTTCAACATGGGAGAACCTTGAATTCGAGATCCACACATATTTGAAACCAAAGGCAAAGAATTGTCATTTTGAGCCAAAAGTCAAAGAATTCGAAAGGTCTGTTTAGGTTTAAGATTAGGATGATTGTAAGATAATAAGAGTATAATCAGACAAAAATAATAGGAGTACCACTAAGACCCATTACTTCTGCAATTTGGCAAATAAATTGCATCCCGTATGTATTTCAAATCATTATACTATTACACCTTAGCCAGTCAGCTGCTCTCTCCACCTTGGACTTTTTCGACCATTTTTCCTGAGTATTGAACGGTGCACAAAGTGCCATGTCATCAACCAATACAACGTTGCTCGTGTCCAACCCCGTTAGTTAGCTTAGCTATGAAGCACTTTATTAAACGGTACACATGGTGACATGTCATCAACCAATACAACGTGGCTGTGTCCAATGAAGGCCTGGGTGGCTATGAAGCGATACAATATGGATGCGTGCCAGCGACACAATATATATATATTTTTAAAGGATCTAGCAGGAAGACGGTAATAAAATAATATATAATTTTATTTTATATATATATATATTTTACTCAAATAAGAATATATATATATATATATATATATATATATATACTCAATTTCTAATGTGTATTTATAAACAAACCTAATTAAATTAGGTCTATCAAAGAGCCCATACTTCTCTTGAAAAGCCTAAAAGTTTATAGGTCCAAATTTTATTAAAATACACTCTATGTATAATTGTATCAAAAAGGAGAATTGCAATCTTTGTAACTAAATATCGAAAAAAAAAAAAAAAAATCTCGAATAATACTTAGGTCTTCACTATTGAAAATTTACCCCATACTTACTGCTGATGTGGACCAATAATAAATTAACATGTCATCTTTAATTATCAAATAAAATATGGTAGGTACAAGTAAATACCCACTTACCAAATAAGAGGTGGTGATTTGATTACCATCTATGATTTGGTAATTAAATTAGAAAGTGTTCATTTATTATTAGTCCATATCAACAGTGAGTATGGTGTAGATTCTCACTAGTGAAGACCTAAGTATTGTTCATCTTTTTTTTTTTTTTTTTTTTAGTTGGTACATATACACACATGTCTCTTCTGAGACTTGAACCATTGACCTCCCTTTGGGAAGTAAGAGGTTGATACCGCTAGGCCACTGACCCGTTGGTATCTCTTGTCTTTCTTGCCCACATTCATTTGCAAATTGTCACTTACACACCTCGTGTGGATATAACAACTTCCTCCAACAGAGCAACAATTAGAAAAGTCGTAAGGAGAGTTAAAGATAAAAAAGAGGTAGTGGCAACATAAGTTCCTCTCTTCACTACATATTTCATTGGGTAAAGAATAGGTAGTGGCAACATATATATGTGTATATATCTCTTCATTCTCTGTCAAAAAAAAAAAAAAAAAAAAAAAAAAAACTGAACATCTTCATCCTCCGGCATATCATGACGTGTTCTCGCGTGTCCTCTAGCGTATCCGACTTCTTAAAAAAGTTTAAAAAATGACACTTCTAAGGGGTGACGTCGGACACGTGTGTCTGTGCTTTAGAGTTTGGAAGTAAAGAGTCTCAAAGATGATCCTTATCTTATTCTTCATTTATTGGTAGGAGGGAAAGTTGAGAAAAGAAGGAAAGAAATGAGGGTTGAAATAAGATTTTATTATTTTTCAAGAAGGATACTTAAGGGGAAAGGAAGGGAATGATGGAGGTATGAGCCACCTCTCTTAGCCCAAAAAGTGAGAGGAAGATGAGGGAGAAAAATAAATTGTTAGATAAATTTGAAAAGACATCATTATTTTCATTTAATGTTTTAGTTTATATTTAAGAGCATATTAGTAAAATAGTAGTAATATCTATTACTTTCGTTCCATCCAACCAAACAAAAGGAAAGATGAAAACCATTCTATCCATGGGATGCCTTCTCCATCCATCCATCCCTTATCCCTTCCATCCAGTTTTCCATCTCTCCTACTAAATGTAGTATTGGTAAACTTCATTTAGATCCCATGTACTTTGTATATACATTAGATAGACCCCCTAGGTTTACAAATATTTAGTCAGATTCCCTCATTTCTTTGACACATATCAGTTTACCCTCAT